CCTCCTCTCTTCTTCTTCATCGCCGGCATGCCTTTTATATCATCGTCCAAGAGCTCATGACTCCTATAACATCTCCATCCGCCATACTCAACTCTGTGCTCGACTCTCTCTCTCTCTCTCACTCCCTCTCACACACTCTCTCTCTCTTCTTCAGTTATCCTCTTCTCACCTCACTACTACCACTTGCCTTTGCACTCCTCTGAGGAAAGAAAAGGCTGCTTGCTTGCTTTCTTCCTCAAGCAACCCCGGCTAGTGTGTCTAGAGCCCAAGCCCGTCCTCCGTCCTCTCGCTTGGTCTAGCTGGTGTCCACTCTGTTACTAGACCCTCTCCTCCCCTTGACCTCTTTTCTTCTTCTTTCCCTCCATTCACTTGCTGTTCCTCATTCCGATAATAACATCTTCCTTCTCCCATCGAGAGGAGCGAAAATGGCCATCTTCCAGCTTCTCTCCAGTCTCGTCCACTTTGCTCCCGGGAGCGGTGGTGCCCCCAACGCATCGGCGCTGTGGAGGTCTTGGTTCAGCAACATCCTGGCCAGGAACAGCCAGCGTCTGCTGGAGAATGAGAGTCTGGCCGACAGTCCCGATCGTCTGCTGGCCATCTCTAAGCCGCTGTGCACCCGTCTGCTCGCCGCCATGGATTACCCCGGTGCTCCTGAACTCAAGGCCGAGGCTGTCGAGGATCTCCTCATGTACATGTACAGGAGGGCCGTCAAGATTGGCCTTCCTCTCAACACACCCTTGTCATCCAAGGGATTCCGTCTAGGATACTCGATGGGACTGGTACGTCGATTGTCCTGCTACCAAAGCCGTTCTCCTTCTCCTCCCTCTCTCTCCACCCTCCTCTCTTTCGTTCTTCAGACCCTGCCATCTGCAATAGCGGACACACGTGTGTGCTGACATGCGAGCGGTTGAGCAGTTCTCTCACCCTCGTCACCCTCTCGAGGTGCAGGGATACGTCGGCCTGTTCACGTGGATCGTCGTGCAGTATGACGACATTGTCGGCCAGGACAACGACATGATGGAGGATGCCATGCTCTTCCAGAGGCGCTTCTTCAACGGAGAGCCCCAGGGAAACCCGCTCCTCGAGGGCATGGCCGAGCTGATCCGCGAGGCCCACAACCACTTCGACCCCGTCCTCGCCAACCTCCTGCAGGTCTCGGCCCTCAAGTTCCTCTCGGCCAACCTGCTGGAGCGCCACGAGGGCTTCGAGAAGATGGAGGTGACGCGCGACGGCATCAAGTTTCCCGACTTCCTCAGGGACCTCGCCGGCATCAACGTCGCCTACGCCGTCTTCTGCTACCCCAAGGCCATGTACCCGGACGTCAACGTCTTCCTCGAAGCGTTCCCCGACATGATGAGGATCATCGACATTGCCAATGATGTTCTCTCGTATGTGCCCCCTCCTTTCTCTCTCCTCCTCTTCTATACATATCATACAGATCGGCAGAGCCCAAGACGGGTGGAAATGAGATGAGAAGACAGCGGCCAGCTAACCTCATCCACCCAGCTTCTACAAGGAGGAACTCGGCGGTGACATGCGCAACTACATCCACAACCGTGCCCTCACCACCGGAAAGCCCCTCCCCGCCGTCCTCGAAGACACCCTCCAGGAGACGATCGACTGCGCCAAGCGCGTGGACCGCATCCTCGCCGGCAAGGGCATCTACCACGACACCTGGAAGGAGAGCGTGAGGGGCTACATTGCCATGCACACCACCAACCCCCGCTACAAGTTCAAGGACATGGGTCTCTCCGAGGTGCACCCTCTCACTCCGTTTGAGGGTAGGATTGACGATCTCTTTGAGAGTATGACGCCGAAATGAATAATGATCTTGGGGGAGGTCGGGAGGTCGGCCGGGGGGGTGAGCGTTTCGGGAGTTTTGTTCTCTGCTCTTTTTCCTTTTTTCCTTTTTCCCTTTCCTTTCCCTTCTCCTTCATTCTCTGGGGTTTCTTTTCTTCTCCTATACGTTTTCCTAAATTTCTTATCCCTCATTGTTCAAGCTTGGCCTTCGTTTGTTCTTATTTTTGTTCCCATTCTCAGCATCTCATATGTCCAATCACGCAGGGATAGTGAGCATAAATTGCGAATCTTTATATATCTCTTAACATACGCCGGAATGAAAATGAATGAAAATGAAATCATGAACCATCCTCTCTTCTACATGTAATACATTCTCAAACAACCAAAACAAATGACTGGTATTAATTATTGCAAACATCTGATGAAATCTGTCAGTCATACCCTGTACAAAGAGTCATACCCTGTACAAAGTCTTACAGCCCCTCGGTCCCTGGTGTAAACGTGGGTCTTTCTAATATCATCTTATCGATAAGGAGTCTTTTTTTCTTTTTCTTTTTTTCTCTTGGACTTGGTGAGAAATTCATTTTTTTTTTTATAAAAAAAAAATCCTTTGCTGTCCCGCATTGATAAACCACATCCCCCACGCCACGCCACAAAAATACTGACAACAATGGCGGCCAAGAAGCACAGTCTTACCGAAGCCGAGGCCGACCAGTCCGTTTCGACGGTGCGACCCAGCAAGAAGACCAAGGTCGTAACAGAAGACGAGTCCGAGGAGGCTCGTCTGAAGCGGGAGAAGAAGGAAAAGAAGAAGGAAAAGAAGCGTCTTCGCGATGAGGCTGCTGCTGTTTCTGCTTCTGCCGGCGACAACGGCGACGGCGATGAGGTCACCAAGAAAGACAAGAAGAAGAAGAAGGACAAGAAGGTGAAGAAGGTCAAGGTGGACGGGCACCAGGAGGAGACGGCCGAGAAGGAAGACGCCGACATTCCCGATGCGCCGGTCGAAGACAAGAAGAAGTCGAAGAAGGACAAGAAGGCCAAGAAGACATCCAGCGGGGATGCTTCTGCCGCCGCCGCCGCCGCCGCCGCTCCGGCGCCCAAGGTCTCCCCCTCTGCCGGCCACGGCTACGTCCAGACCATGAGCCTGACGGACGCACCCCAGACGGAGATTGACGAGTTCCTCTCGAAGCACCAGATCTCGGTAACGGATCCCAAGGCGGCCGAGGGTGCCGCAGCTAGGCGGCCCGTCATCGAGTTCCGCCACCTGCCGTCGACGAACTTGCTGGAGAAGAAACCGTCCCCGTTCGCTGGCTTCACGGCCCCCACGCCCATCCAGGCCGCCTCGTGGCCCTTCACCCTCTCCGGTCGCGACGCCGTGGGCGTGGCCGAGACGGGATCCGGCAAGACCATGGCCTTTGCCCTGCCGTGCGTCGAGTTCGTGTCCACCCTGCCCGGCAGGGGCGTCAAGGCCGTCATCGTCTCGCCCACGCGCGAGCTGGCCCTGCAGACGCACGTGCAGCTGGCGTCGCTGGCGGCCCTCGTCGGCCTCAAGTGCGTGTGCATCTACGGCGGAGCGTCCAAGGACGAGCAGCGCGCCCAGCTCACCCGCGGCTCGGGCGCGGACATCGTCGTCGCCACCCCCGGCCGTCTCAAGGACTTCATGTCCGACGACACCGTCAACCTGTCCGCCGCCAAGTTCGTCGTCCTCGACGAGGCCGACCGCATGCTCGACAAGGGATTCGAGGAAGACATCAAGATGATCCTGGGAGCCTGCCCGGAGCGCGAGTCTCGTCAGACCCTCATGTTCACGGCCACGTGGCCCGCGTCCGTCCAGGCCCTGGCCTCCACCTTCATGGTGTCGCCCGTCAAGATCACCATCGGCTGGGCCGGCAAGGCCGCCGCCGACGGCTCCGTCGAGCTGCAGGCCAACACCCGCATCAGCCAGCACGTCGAGGTCGTCGAGCCCCGCGACAAGGAGTTCCGCCTGCTGTCCATCATCAAGCAGCACCAGCAGGGCAAGGCCCGCAACGACCGCATCATCGTCTTCTGCCTGTACAAGAAGGAGGCTACCCGCGTCGAGGCCTTCCTCCAGCGCAAGGGCATCAACGTCGGTGGCATCCACGGTGATCTACGTCAGGAGCAGCGCACCCGCAGCCTCGAGGCCTTCAAGTCCGGCCAGACGTCCGTTCTCGTCGCCACCGACGTGGCCGCTCGCGGTCTCGATATCCCCGAGGTTAAGCTCGTCATCAACTGCACCTTCCCACTCACCATCGAGGACTACGTTCACCGTATCGGACGTACCGGTCGTGCTGGCAAGACGGGCGAGGCCATCACCCTCTTCACTGCCCAGGACAAGGCCCATTCTGGAGCGTAAGTTTCCGATAACCCCCCCCCCCCCCCCCCCCCCCCCCCCCGCAGGCATCTCTGTCCTTGGCTCGCATTCTCCATTTTTGAATAATTGTATGCTTACAAAAATATCT